TATCCTTCTTTTTAAAATTATGGAATCCTTCTTTCACAAAAGTATCACCACCTCCTTGTTCTCCATTATTTGGTCTAAAAAGATAACAATATAAGCAAAATGTAACATTATTACTTATACTATATTCTTACCAATCACCATATTCATTGAACAAAGCAGGAATTAATTGCCTTGATTTTTTACATGGAAACACACAACTCCGAGGCTGACACGGACCTCTCTGCAAGTATACTCTTCTTATTTGATCTTGAAGATTAACATTGTAATTCATTGTTGGAGTTCTTAATCTGGAATCCGTGGGAAGTTATGCAATATCAACATGTTCAATACTTGCTTTCTTTACCTCATCATATTCTTGAAAATTAGTTTCATCAATACATGCTTTCTTTGTTTCGTCATTTTCTTTCATCATTTTCTTGAAAATTAGTTTTATCAATACTTATTTCCTTTACTTCATCATTTTCTCCAAGAGTAGCATCCTCGACACTTGCTTCATTTGCCTCAACATTTTCTTCAATAGACATTTCACCAATGCGTTGTTTCTTTGCCTTAACATTTTCTTTTATAGAATTTTGAGATATTCTTTTAAAATATCTCAACATATCTTCCTACAAATCAAACAAAGAATACATAAATATACCAACAGTGAAATAGCAAAGTTTCTTTCAAGTCATAGATTCAACAGTAACACAACTTGTTCTATTGTTCACTAATTGTAAATTAGTAATCACTACTTTCTTAATATGGAATATTCAATCTTCCCTAATCCCTAGACAGCTAGACCACAATTTGCAAGTTTCCACCATGAGGTCCATAACTATTGAACAAGCAAAGGTCTGCAAAAGGCTGAGGTAGAGAGGCTCCTGATGTTATAGTCAATTTGTCATTTACCAGACTACCAATGCAAACTGTGCAGTTCCTAAATTTATCTATACCAGTGCAGACTGTGTAGTTCCTGTGTATCAAATTAATCAAGCAAATAATCGAACACCTAGTGAACGTCTTTAAATCATAGTTAGAGGAATAAAAACTTGCAACTTGAAAGGCCAGACGCCAAGAACTAAGAAGCAAGGTAGTGTGCGCGTGAATAATGAATTCATTTCAAAATTGATTCAACTTACAAAACGTTCTTCAAAGCTTCAATCCATTCTTCTTCTTTTTCTTCATCTTTCAATCTGTTCTTGTTCTTGTTCTTGTTCTTCTTCTTCTTCGGCTATTGGAGTTTGTAGGGTTTGAGAATTGGGGGCAATGGAACTAGGAAGGGAATGATTTCGCACTCGGGGGAGAAGAGAATTGGGGGAAACTGGGAACGAGTTTGCAGCCGTTTATGTGTAGGTCGTGAGTGGACTTTTTTCCAAGAAAAAAATTAAGGCCCAATTGACTTTTTTTAGGGAAAACATTAACGGCCCGGTGGGGGAAACTGCCCCCACTGGGCCCTTAATGGGTCAACCCCTGATTGTTGTAGTATTACATAGAACATAGTATTCTTGAAGTTCAAATACTGTTGGATTTGATTTCTGGTAGAACACTTTTATTTTCTTTAGTCTAATTCAACATATTGAGCGTGTTTATCTTGTTGAGTGTTGTCTAATTTAACTTGCTAATAGGGTGTTCGATAGAGACTAAAACTTGATTTTTAGTAGATTGTGATAGAAGTTTTGGAAATGTGTGTTGAAAAGTTGTGGGACTTATGAAAGATGTGGTTAATATTGATTGCTTGACTTTGACTTGGATTTGAATTAAAATCAAATTTTAATCTGAACCAAACATGGGCTAAGTGTGACGTTTTGAATTGTCAAGTGTAAAGATCGACAATTTATTCGTGTATTGCATTCAAGTGGACAGCTGGATTGGTTCTGTATGTCCAAAAAGTGGGTGGGTGGATTGGCTTTGTCATTAAGTTGTCTTGCATGTATTAATCATACCCAAATGACACTTGATCCTCTTTAAACTAGCATAGTAAAACATAAATAATTTGTTTATCTTATCTTCAAATTGCACCTAAATGTGGGTTCACATAGTTTTTGTAATTATATAAATGGACAAAAGCAAAGCTTAAATAAAAACTATTGATTGCCCTAATATTTAATAAGAATCTTATGGAAATGATTGTTATGTATCCGTTTTTTTATCGGAGAAAGGATCCTTTCACAAATCTTGATTTCTCGAAAATCGAAATTCTTGATTAATGGAGGAATAATATAATCCTTTTCCGTTCACTAAGATATCAAGGTAGATGATTGATTCATTTGATACTAAAAGTAATAGTAGGAATAGTCCTGATCTCATGCACCTGGTGAATATGATAAAAATTTCTCACTATCGACATGAAAAATGAATCTTAATTATGATTTTCTAGAAATAAATTTAAAGAACCATAACTAAAGTTATCTTGTTACATCAATCGTGAAAAAAAATTATTCTGGTCACTGAGGACATGCGATCAATTCTAATAGTAGTAAATCATTTGATTGGTACTTAAATATCATTATGGAAGATGGTAATTGTGATTATCTTTTTCTTTTATATTATACTTTTAAGAAGAAATGTTTTTATTTTATTTCTAAATTTGTTTTTAATAGTTTGTAAATGAATTTAGAACGTTTGATCGAGTAAAAAAATAAAAAACAGTAAAAAAATAAAAAACACGAAGGAATTCATGCAATTTAACTCCTTAGTTGGCACTCTCAATCGACCAATTACAACAAATTAATATTGAATAGCAAACATATTTATAATCATAATATACTTTTACTTTTTAAAACGTCCTCAAGAAAAGAATGACGTGTTGATAGAATGTTTATTTTTGCTCACAAGCCAAAAGAAGTCGTTCAAGCTTGAATCTAAACAATGCTCAGAATCTTCAATTAAAGTAGGCTTTTCTCCTAAGGCCTGTTTAATAGGCCTTATTTTCCATGGAAATTGGAATTGAAATTCAATTTTTTACCTTTGTCATGTTTGATGGCACCCTTTTTTTTTTTTTTTTTATGGAATTGGTTTTTCACATTTGTTAGTTTTATTGGTTTTAGTTGAATTGAAATTCCCACCATTTAGGTGGGAATTGAAATTCCATCTTTTTTTTTTGGACAATAGAAACAAATTCTATCACCAATTGTAAAAAAAAATAAAAAATTATCCATTTAATTGACAATTTCCATGTAAAACAAAGTCAAACGAACGTAAAAAAAAATTTCAAATTTTTTTTTTTTTGACAATCTAAACAAATTATATCCCAAATTATAGAAATTATGTCCCTTTACTTGAAAATTTTCATGAAAAAGTCAAATGAACACCAAAAGATAGAAAATTTTAATATTTTCCAAGTGGAAAATCATACCAATCAAATACAATTAATTGACAATTCCCAATAAAACAAATTTTAGACAATCCAATTCCCTACAATTCGTTTTTTTTTCACCCAAATTCCATCTTTGAATCAAACGGACCCTTAATATTAGTACACTTGTATTCTTAAGGGAATATTCGTAAGCAAAATCAGACCAAAGTGTCACCGACAGGGCATATTTCTAAACTAATTGCAAATGAGAGAGAGAGAGAGAGAGAGAGAGAGAGGGAGAGAGAGAGGTCATTATTGTCAAATAATAAAATTAGGACAATTGCGCAATTTCTTAATAGCAGTTAATAGTAGTCGATATTTTAAATTGAATAATACTAGATAATATTTCAAAAAAAAAAAAATCTTATGTATTCTCTTCTCTATTCTAAACTTCCTGTCGAAGTCGATTTATTCCAAAAAAAATACGGTGAATAATAAATTTCGGTAAATATTATCGTATGAAAATTTAAATATAAGTAACAGTTTTAGCATCAAGTCATGCATGTTGACAATATTAACCTTAAAAGCAAATCATCCCTGCATTTTAATGTTCCAAAGTATAATGCTTTCAAGGGACTCAAAATCGATGCCTTAAACTACGTTTCTAATTAGTGCGATCTCATTGCTTCGATTTGGTGTTGAAATTGCATAATTTGATAAAGATTGCTCAAAGAATAAATAAATCTGGA